CCGGGAGTGGCCTGGAGCCTTCTCCTGGTTCATGGGATTGTGAACGGTGTCCAGTGTCGGTGGCTCTTCCCTCCCGTACGTCCTCTGGCCTGGGCCTGTGAGCGTTAACTCGAGCCGATCCCCGAGTTCTTTGGTCTTGGCCAGAGTGCAAATAAATGTCGGTTCTTCTCAAGTCTTACGACTTAAGCTGACCCAGGAGCTTTTGCTGCTTGGAAGCCTCTGGCCTGGGCCTGTGAGCGTTAACTCGAGCCGATCCCCGAGTTCTTTGGTCTTGGCCAGAGTGCAAATAAATGTCGGTTCTTCTCAAGTCTTACGACTTAAGCTGACCCAGGAGCTTTTGCTGCTTGGAAGTTTGCTGCCAGGGTGGTTTGTCGTGGTGGACAGGCTTAATGTCTGTGCCATCGAGCATTCAGGCTTAACAGCTCTCTGGCTTGTACTGTACGCAGACTAAACCCAGCTGTAGCGCAGGCCTGCCAAGGCATACAGTCAAAATACGTGTTTTTATTCGCAGGTGCAACATGCAAGTAAACAGATTGCCGCTGATAAGCAGTACAAGGGTATCATTGATTGTGTAGTGCGTATTCCAAAGGAACAAGGAGTGCTGTCTTTCTGGCGAGGAAACTTGGCAAATGTCATCAGATACTTCCCGACTCAAGCTCTCAACTTTGCCTTCAAGGATAAGTATAAGCAGGTGTTCCTGGGAGGTGTAGACAAGCACACTCAGTTCTGGAGGTATTTTGCTGGTAACCTGGCTTCTGGTGGTGCAGCTGGAGCCACTTCCCTCTGCTTTGTCTACCCCTTGGATTTTGCGAGAACCCGTTTGGCTGCTGATGTTGGAAAAGCTGGCGCAGACAGAGAATTCTCTGGCCTAGGGGACTGTCTAATCAAAATTACCAAGTCTGATGGTCTGCGTGGCTTGTACCAGGGGTTCAATGTCTCTGTCCAAGGCATCATCATCTATAGAGCTGCCTACTTCGGGATCTATGATACAGCAAAAGGTAAAGTTTCAGAGGTGATCTGATAAACTATTTTCAGAGTTGTGTTGTCTCTTCATGCCTGTTCTTGGATGTTGCTCTGTGTTTGTCTGTAGTAACTACAGTTTATATGAGTGTGGAGGTGGGAGCGGGGTATTGGTACCAACATCAGTGGCACTGCAGCGTTTGTGTCAAAACTGGGGCCTGTATTGATGTCAGCAGGCTACTTTAAATTACTGGTTTTGCACTTGTCCTCAAAGGAGATTTTCCTAATGCCAGCAAAGCATGTCAGTAACTACAGAAAATTACAAGTCTTTTTTTTTGTTTAGTGTGCTACTGTAGTTACATTAAACAGATTTAAGTGTGTTTAGCAGAATGGGATTGAGCGATGCTTTATCAAATCACTTGTTTGTTGAGCTTGACATTTGGGCATAGAGGTTGTTGATACTAGGTTATAGTTTAGTATAATTCACGGGAATAATGACTTAGTGACACTTCCTTCTAAAAAGAGTAGGGAATAGTTAGATCTCTTCTTATGCCAGCCTGAAAAGAATCCTGGTGCCTAGATGTTACTTGTTTTGATTATTGAGAAGAAAAATCCTGGAAATTTCCTTGATTTTTTTTTTTATACGGCTTCAGCGTGTTATAATTTTATCAAATGTCTTGGTGCAATTTCGAAGTGTGGCTTTACAGTGCTTCAGAATACTTTGTCTAGTAAAGTAGCCGTCATGCAGTGAGTGAACTGGAGGAGGAAGTAAAAGATAAAAAGCTAATTACTTTGTTTTTATTGCAGGCATGCTCCCAGATCCCAGAAATACTCATATTGTTATCAGTTGGATGATTGCCCAGACGGTGACTGCGGTGGCTGGCGTGGTCTCTTACCCTTTCGATACAGTGCGGCGTAGAATGATGATGCAGTCAGGACGCAAAGGAGGTAGGCTCTCCGTTTGTGCAGTTCTTTAAGCTGCATTAACAAGATGGAGTGCTTTTTTCCCAGTAGTCATCCCTCAACACTTACACTTCCTTGTTCTGTAAATCTGATTTAAGTTATGTAACATTTAAATGATACAAGGAAATGCAGTAGGGTCATAACTTGCGGTGTTTGCCAGGAGTTATGCTGAGGACTTTTCCTTATAGAATGTGAAATGGACTGCCTGTTTACAGTGACAGATTGAATGAAGGCTAACGGGGCACACTGCAGTTGCCAAAAAGAACACTTAATGTTTTTATTTTGTGACCAAGCTTTCGATAACTAGGCAAGCAGATTGGAAGCTTTTCTGTTGCCTGAACTGGTATTGTGTTACAGCCTTAATGTGCTGTGGCACATTACAGAGTAGCTAGAGAAGTGAAACAGGGCAGTTGTTAAAAACATCTTGGATAGAATTATAGGAGTTAAAAATGACACTCTGCTCTTTTTCTACAGCTGATATCATGTACTCTGGAACAATTGACTGCTGGCGGAAGATTGCAAGGGATGAGGGAGGAAAGGCGTTCTTCAAGGGTGCATGGTCTAATGTTCTCAGAGGCATGGGGGGTGCTTTTGTGCTTGTGCTGTACGATGAATTCAAGAAAGTCATTTAAACAGCCTAATTAGAATTGGAAATCAAGTTGAGCAGATCATGTAGAATAACTACCATTATGGACCATTGACCTTCAAGAAATTCCTGTGAGTCTTATTTATCGGAGCCAGATGATGTTTGTAGATGGGGCTAGAAACTGACAAAGAGGACTGATCCATTTCTTAGTAACATGCATGAAGATGCTGAATCTGGCAATTCAGTGTGGTGATTTTCTTTTTTTTTCCCAGCAGTGAGGAACAAGTGGCATTGGTTCTGGGTCCAATTTAGGCAGAAAAAAATTGTTTGCCTGTGGATCAGTCCCCGGTTTCAAGTCCTATCTTCTAGGACCATAAAATTGTGTTTGAAAGTACTTGCTAACAAATCATGTTCTTTTCCACTTGTACTGAAGCACTATGTACCATTTTGCACAGCTGAACATCTAGCAATTTTGTTCTTAAATTGGGGCATTCTGCTGTAAAACAATAAACATACTTACTCTGTGTTGAAATTACTACATAAAAGCTTTGGGAAAGCCTCTTTTGTTTGAAAACTTGTTTCGATAATGGTTCCTCTGATACACTTACACTGCACTCTGTAACAGAATAAGCTTGATTATTTTTTTTTTAAGAAATAATTGAATGTGAGAACTTTGGGGACGGGGGGGAAGCATGGGTTATACTAATAGAAACCACTCCCATTCTTTGTGCCTGATAGTGTATGATGGGCTGCTGCAAGTGGCTTTTTGCATGATTCTTAGAAATTGATTTGCAACTGCTCATGTGATTTTAAAATGGAGGGGGTTCTTTTGTAGTGGTAGGAGAACCCAAAGTCCCAAGGACAGTGAAAAAGTAATACTTTTGCCCTTGGTAAACCAGCTTAAAATGAAATACTCTTTTTTAAAAAAATTCAATATAGAAAGCAACATGGCATTCATGCAAAAACCCAGGAACCTGGTAAATGCCTTCAACTTCGGAGTAACCTGTGTGTTGTATTGTTGCTGCTATTTGGAAATGCTGATTGTGCCCTTCAGGATACTGTTTGGCCTGATCTGTAGCGGTGGTCAGTACCTCTGTGGAAGGTGAATTTAATCTGAAATGAGCTTTGTTCCAAGAGGTGAAGTTGATGGGGGTTGTGGGAGGGAATATGTATGCTTCTGTGTAGCTGTAAAATACAGATCAAGGTAGGTCAGCCTTCAATATTAACTGATTGTTGTCTAGTTCTGAGGATTGTCAGAAGACCAAAATCAGATCAAATAATTTCTCATACTGCTATTTGAGGTGATGTAATACCTATGTGCTGTTCTTCATATGTATATAATTTTGCTTTTGTACTTTGTAATCTGCAAAGACATGGTGGAGGGGACCAGTAATGGAAAAAGATACTCATCTTCCAATCGTGTTTTCAAGAACTCTCCCTATATCTTAAGAAAGAAACAGTGTGTCATTGTGTGAGTTGTTGGAGGCTGGCTGAGCTGTCTCGAGTTCTTCTGTGTGCCTTCTGAGGTTGGTGTTCAAGATGAAGTATTTAAATTAATGACTTGGCTTTGGCTGATTATTACCTTCCTCTCAGACATAATTTACCTTTTCCTTCGCTGTTGCAGAAACACCGCTTTCAACATCTGTATGTGAATGTAAGTACGTTGCACAATTACTTTGTACACAAGCTAATAGCAAACTTTATGTCCCTACTGCAAGTGTTTTTATCCTGTTTGGTAATGGCAGCGCTCCTGTGGTGCGGGCTGATCATTTGGTGTTGACCTTGCCAATCAACCTGTCATTTCAGTTGTAACTATATTAATTGGAGGGGGCAGGGGAAGAGTTTTTGTTCTATATAAATACATTGCCTCGGGTTTTCTGTGTCAGTGGCTTGAAAGGTAGAGATAATGATAGGATACCTCACTCTGAGTGTGTGGTGGCCCTAGCTTTGTAGGGAAAAACCCAACATGACAGTTACTTGAGCAGCCCCTAAAAGGGGGAGGACATTTTTCACTCCGCATCCCCCCTCCACTCCAGAACTAGATTTTAACCAGAATAAATAGGAAAATAAATCAATGCAAGTGTAGGTGGGTTTTTTTAAGTGGAACTGCAATGTACCTATGCTGTGAGCTCAGCATGTACTACTTGGTGTTCATTTTTTTAATTATGTGGCTTCCCTTAGTCATGCAGCAGCAATTTTCAATGTATGATTATGCAGTGTGGGAACATGAGGCAAACAATAAATGAGACTTTTAAAAAAAGCATTGGTTTTCTGCCTTATTGAAACATTTACTTGCTAATGTGTTTATTTTGAAAAATACTTTTGACAGGAAAACATCTGGAATTTGTACAGGAAAATACTAGCTTCTAAAGTCTATATTTTTAAAAGGCATTGGAAATAGGGCTTGCACACTTTGAAGGCAATAAATAAAATGCATTGTAGAAAGGAAATATTTACATTTAAAATTTAGCTATTAAATCTTACTACAGATTTTATTCCTTCTTAACTGTTACACTGGATTTTTAAGATATAAGTAATATCTATGTGATTTAAGTCCATATTAATATTGCAGAGGTTCACATTCGCGTTGGAAGTACTGAGCTTGTGAAATGGCTGACTGGCAGCCCAGCGTGAATTCTTACTTAGGGCAAACATCATTCCCCATTTTCTGTTTGGCGTAAAGCTTATTGAGTATACTGTGGCAGTTTGGTGTTGCTGGTTGCAAGGCTGAAGGGCAATTTTAAATGCTTTAAATAGCTAGTTTCTGCTCCAGAAAACACTCTAGGTAGATAAAAGCAGTCAGCTGGGGAAATTAACTACTGTAGCATTCTTAAGCAGTCCTGTCCTCCTACAGGAAATCGCTGTATTCGGAGGAAGGAAACATCACAGCAATGGAGATGGGAAATAAATACAAATTTCTCTGTTATGGATGAGAGGCCTTGTCTCACATCATGAAGAAAATCTCAGCAAGGTTTAAGCAAGTCTTCACAGTAGGTGTTTGCAGAAGAGCGTAGCTGCTGGGCGTTGTGCTTTTCAACAAAGTGTAAAGAACAAATTTTACTGATTTTTTTCTTTCACTTTTTTCCACTGCTCCATTTTAGGTGGATTTTTATGGGACAAATAGTTTTATAGGTGATGGTATTCACTGCTAGACTGTGCTCTGAAGGACTCCTTAGTTTTCAGGATGATCCATGATTTTATTTCATGTTGGGGAATCCAAGCGTGTTTTCTTTCTGGAAAGTCAGGTCATCTCTTCCACCATAGTTACTTCTTCAGTACAACTCTTTTTTGGTAGATTTACGTATTCTGTCTAAAGAGAAAGAAAATTCTGTAACATGCAGTAAGCTATGGAGTTGCAGTTGATGATCGGAGAGAACATTTCTAAATGTTAGATACACCAGTACCAAAGGGAGCTCGTCTTGGTACATTTACAGTTCAGGATTGTTTGACTTCTAACACGTATGATCAGTGGTAGCTGTTTGTCAGCTGAAGGTAAAAGAACAAAAGTTGATTTAAATGCTGGACAACTAACTTAACAATATAAGAAATTTATTCAGTAAGTATTGTCTGAGTTTTCCATATGTAGGCATTAACTAGACTTACTGAGAGAACATTTTGGTTGCTATCATACCGGTTTAGGTTGGTTAACCTGAAGTTCTGTGAGAGGGGAAGTTGCTGGGCAAGATCATAGTACTGATACAGGACTTGGGGCTTAAAATATTGAGGGGAGATAGATTTTATATTTTAAAAAGGAGGGATAATACTGGAAAAAAAAAAAAGCCAAGAAAAATAAGAGCAGGCTTGCTTGGCCATTCGCAGAGCAGAGCCATGCATGGGCACAGGGTGTGCCTTGCAAGTTCTTGGAACATCTAATTCGGGAAAAGAGGAAAACAATATTTAAAATGTAATTGAGTGAGGGTGAGGAAAGCATTTGAAGTGAGTGACTGAAAAATGAAGGAAGATGTGTGAAATAAAATAAATGCAAGGCGTTTGAACTGAATGAATTGGTTGGTAAGATCTTACCCACAGCGAATAGGAAAGCTGGCAGCTCTTTAACATGAGTGTTAAGGATGCAGGTGCAAACTCGGTGTGGAAAGGTGAGGGTTGTAAATGGTGAGGTTTTTCAGTGATCGAAGGAAACAGGACAAACCATGCGAAAATGTGAAAGGCTGTCAAGTAAGTAGGGACAAATGAGGAAATGCAGGCTTTAAAAAGGTGTGATTGAAGGACATTACAGATTCAAAATAGCTCATGAATATATTAGCACTAAATGCTGGGAAGCAATAATCCTGGTATTCAGTGGAGAAGGCAGTGTCTCCTGAGAACCTTTTTGTGCTTTACTATCCGCTTTGAGGAATTACAGCATTCGATCAGTGTTAGTTACCTGAGTGTGGAGAGAAAAGGTAAAGTAATACTGGGCTTTAAGACTAGATTAAAACAGGCAAAGGAGAGTCTAGAAACTTTATAGACGTGTCAGACTTACACAATACCTTCACAGTGCCTGTTGGCAGGTATGAGGCAACCTGAGCTGAGGGCTTCATGTGGTCTCTGACAGTTACTGCTGAGAAGTTGCTGGCTGTGTGGAAGTGCCGGTGCCACCATTTACAAAACCACATCCACAGTTTTCTGGGTTGTAGTGGAGTGATTTGAGTAACAATTCTGGTAGTGCATGTACAAGAATTTGGAAGCTCCTCAAGTTTAGAAAAAGCAAGCAATCCAGAGGGTCTGCAGTTTTTGAGGGACTGCTTACTACTTTACTAGCAATTACTGTTTCTTAATTTGGTGGACTGTGGGCTGCTGCTCTATAGCCTTAGCTCTGGCAGCCTAATATGGAGTGAGATGTCAGGTATTTATGAATTAAGATACAAACTCATCCAAGTTACCACAGCTACCAAGGTATCCAACTCATCCATTGCTACCTGCCTTCTGTGAAAGCCAAAGACTGTAGGACCAAAGACAACGAAGACAAAACAGCGTGCTGGTGCGTAGTTACCAAAACTGGAAAGTTTTAGTCGCAACAGCTTTGAGGAGTCATTGTAAAGGACTGTTGAAAATTTGTGTGAGGACTTCTGAAAGCCTCTGAAAAGGGTGGTGTTGACCACTGAAACATTGTAGGCAATAAACAGCTAGCCTGACTTACTGGCTTAAAGCACATCTTTGCTTTAGCTGGCCGATATAAAGCATTCCCTTGCAATGAAAACCACTGTTGGCAGAGACAAATCAGAAGAGAAACATGAATGATTTGAAGCCTGGTTGTCATGACATGCAGAGAAAGACGGTGGAATTGAGGTGCTGTTGACAGTGTGCAAGTGTGTAAGATACTGTAAAGGAACGAGGATGAGAAGTAACAGATTTTAAGTGCAATAAAATAGGCTATTAAAAAAGCTTGCTAAAAGTAAGGATGGTTAAACAGTAGAATAGACTGCACATAAGGGTGCTACAGAATATTGGTCAAACACAATTTGCACAGAGCATCAGAACTGTCGTGACTAATCCTGTGCTGAAGCAAACAGGAATGCTAGTTAAGCTGGTGAGGCTTTCCAGCCCTGCTTTTCATGATTCAATGCAACAGTATTTTTGCATGAGCATTGGTCAGACTTACATATATATTCATGTTGTATTGTGATTGTTGATATTTGAAAATGCTAATGGCAAATGCTTCCTTGCTTAGATTATCTGCAAAGTATGAACTGCAACCCAGCAGAACTGGCACATGCAGAAATTATCAGTCACAGTAAAAGTGAGAACTGGCCTTAAAATATGGTTGCAAATATGTACAGAAAATCACTAGTCTCAGCACTGACACAGAGCATTTCTAGTTTCAAAACAGCATACTTTGCACGGGAGCAAGTTAGTTTTTAATGGGCCAAATTTAACTCTCCTCTTCATATGCCAGTTCTAGTCTTTGGCCTATCATGGTTTATAGTTACTAAATTTGACTGATTTGAAAAGAAAGCATACCTGGATATCTTCATCAGCTGATGTATTAAATTTGTCTCTTGGTTGTGGAATGGGAGAAAATACGCTTTTGAAACTGCAATACCTTTGGGCACAAAAAGAATTGTAAGAAATTAAAAATACTGGTAAGATAACTTACACAAACATTTTGTCTTGTACCTTAGGGACACTTTTTACTTTCAAGACTGAATAGCTGTGGCCCTACATATCACAAAGTGAGAAGGAAAATAATTTGAGTGTAGGCTGGTGGGTAACAATTATTGTACTTATCACTTGGGTAACTGAAATTTATTTTGTGGTGAGAGTCACAGTAAATACTTTATTAAACAATGACTTTCAATAAGTCATGTGACATAACTTTCTTCCACCACTCAGTGAGAAGTTTTATCAAAATACTGACACATTCATTTGTCGTAATTCCCTCTTGTCTGGTACTGTATGAAGCCAATGGCTTCAAAGCAATGTAGGTATTAAATGCTTAAAAATAGGAACAGAAATGTTTTTGCAGGATCTAGTGGAATCAATCACTTACTAACATCCTTTCCACCTTTTCCACTTGTAGTGATTTTGCATGTCAAAGTGACATCCGAAACAATGCTGGTATTAATACTTTATGACATTAATAAATAAATTATTTATGTTTGTAGGCAGGAAGGCAGGAATAGATAGTTTCTGTATCAATAAAGTTGATTTACCTTTTGAAAAGACAATACTGGAGCAGTGTCACTAAGGTTGTTCCAAGTGCTATCGGAAGTAAAATCACAAAAATAGAGGGTTTTTTCCCTTCTCCTGAAGCATCCAACAGAGAAATATTTTAGCGTGCCAGAAAGCTACCTTTTGTGACTATCAGTAATGAATGCAAATTTCACCCAATTTTTTGAATAATTTAAAGGACTTCAACTTGACTTTTTACAGAACCTCATCAAAAAGTTCAGCTACACTTGACGCATTTTAACACATTTCAAACACTTAAAAGGTACAGAATTAAAAACAATAAAATCCAGAAAAGGAGAAGAAGAAGCAGAGTCACAGAACGAATAATGGAACAAAAGTGGTGGAAATGTACAAAGAGTGCTGAGGAAAGGGTGAAAAGGAAGATGTGGAAGGAAGGGGATGGTATTCATGGCAAAAGAACTGGAAGGCAGCCTCAGCACTTCGGACTGAAGACAAGACTGGGTCTGTCTCAGCCTGTTCCTGTAACCTGGGCATCTGAGTAACTGCTGCTTTCACAATGCCAGCTACTCAAAGGCTGGTGTCAGCCTCTGTTGCCATAGTACTGGAGCTTCTCCTCTGTGTTAATAATTTCCACCTGGTTACTTCCATGTGATTGGGTAAGAATTAAGATTTTATTCATATCTATGAGCGTGAGAGAGAAAGGGAGGCAAACATGGTAATACTGAAAAAAAAAAATCTGTGTTAAAATCATATTTCTTAGTCTTACCAAACTCAATGAGTTTACTCCATTCCCCCCAGCTTGAGCTTACGAGACAGTTTTTTCCACGCGCTCTGATTTTCAGAATGTAATTTTTTTTCTCATTGTAGTTTTGGAATTCATATCTGTTGTTTCTTACCTAAAACCAAAGCAATCAGACTGCATTTCACCCCATAGGCAAATATTAATAAAAGTTTGGGTTTAGATTCCTGATATAGTTTCTATAAAAAACTAACTTGTATTATTTTGTAGGTATGTACTATTTAAATGTTTTTCTCTCCAAATCTAAAACCATAATAAATTAGTGCATCCTGCTATTGAATCCTTCTGGTTTTTGAAGTTTGAAGTTGGATTTTGAAGTTTATTTGGGTCTTTATTTTATTATGCTTTAAGGACACTTTTTTCCCTGTCCTTGTTTGTGGATCCTAAAAATCCAGGAGGACAGAAAGCTGAAACTGGAGAAGTACCCTGTAAATTCACCTTGCAGCATTTGTGGGGATTAATCATGCAGATGTTTCCTGGATGGTGTCTGTCTTTGCTAAACAGGCTTACTGGTTTTGAGGCAATCTAATAACAGATATGTATCATCTGGCCTCATGGTACTTTATACAAAGTCTGGAATCTGCCAAGCCTAAATTTCTTCCCGGGCCAAGAGGACCACGCATTTGTCAGGGGAAGACTGACAGCATGTATTATTTTCCACAGGTTTTGAAGATCTTGGGGTTCCCTCTCTCTAGCTGTCCTGAACTACAGTGATATTTTTCCACCAACAGATATGAGCAAGAGAATGTTTCCAGTTTTTATTAAGGAAAATGTCACATCTGTCTTAAGCAAAATCTATTTGTGCAATAAATAGAAAATATGAAGTTTTGTGAAATGTATGGAAAATTCTGCCTAGTATAAGCTACCCCATCCAAAAGGAATGTATAAAGTTTACACATAAAGATACCACAGGAACATATTTTCCTGAATTCTCATTTCTATACTGATACAAAAACCATAGTTGTAGAAGTAACCATATTTTATATAATAGTATTTATATGCTTAAGTGGGCAAAAGCACAAATTTATATATGACAAGAATATTTACTCTTACAGAAGGATGTTTTTTCTCTTCTTTGGGTTCATCCTGCAAACCAAAGACAAACGTTAATTTTTATTGTTTTCTTGTGAATTAATTAAATATTTCTCCCTCTTTTGTTCTCATTTTCTTGCTTATAAAGATCACAAGTAATCTTAAACTGAAAAATCAGTTGGATACTCTTCTCTAGTAATGTGCCAGAGTATAGCACTTTATTCACAGTTTTGGCTTCCTCTGTTTCATTTTAGAAAAGGAAGGACACATGATTGTTTGTCAGTGGTTATGAGAAGCTGTGTTTGCCTCGTAAGATATATTTACACTGTGCATTCTCATCCAGCAGAAATATATCCAAATTATGCAAGCAATCAAATCATCCTCCAAACACAGCTTATCTGGAAGCTGTGCTTTCACAATAGTTTGGTAATATGGGGCAGAAAATTGATGTGAACAGCAAAGTTACCCTCCTTTCTGTCAAAGTCTTTGTTAGACATCTGAGTGACACATACTCAGGAGCTTTCCCCGAAGTACTGTGAAGAGCTACTTGCACATCCCATACAATGAAAATGTAACTTAACTAGAATCAGACGCTGACCTGGATCAAAGAACCTGAAAATTCTGAAAAAATAACAGGTTCAAAAATGAGTGAGCAAATCAACAGCAGAGATTTTAGCAAGGATCCCGGAAAACTTTGGAAAGATGAGGTCCTGGGAAAATCTTTCGCCTGTAATGTCAGAAGAATGGCTCGTGTTATGGAAAAGTAAGAAAGATGTTATTGGAAGGAATGTCTCGTTTCATAGAATACACCCAGTATGTATGTTGCATTATAAAGTAGACTAGTATTTCCCCATTACTCATTGTCAGCTGAGGTCTTTCAATGTAGGACACGATGGAAGTCATCAGCCTGTGCTGTGAACAGGGAGGGTGCAAATGAGTTACTTAAACTTTTAGTGTGCTGTGCCATTTTAGTTGGCTTACCTCAGGTGCCCCCTCCTGAAAGGTGTGACATTCTGTGATTCTGTGTATACCTGCCATTTCCATGTAGGTACCTCTGGTACCTCCAGTACCCATACAGAACTTTAAGGGGAATGAGGCACCTACTACTCAGCTGCACGAAGCCTTAGATGCACGTTGACCGTTGTGGGGTATCCGTGCTCCTTTGCAGATACCCACATTAAGGTTTCTCAGCCTGTGAGGTGAATTTCACACCCAAATGTAGGAATCTACAGACCCCCACCCGTTCTGACTGCAGCAGGTAACCTGTATTTCTTTAGAAAAAAACAGTTTGGATGATGTTGCTTTAGTCACGTTGTAACCTATATCTCTGAGTAAAACATTCTAAGTATTTCACACAAGATGCTACTGTCAAATTATACCAGCCATTTGGAAAGCTGCGTGTACTGCAATTGCTCCTTGAAATAGCTACCAAGCAGATACTATTAATGCATGCAAGATACAAAATCCAGGCAATCCAAATAGCCTGCAGGCTACAGGCTTTATTTTGAATTGAGTTTTAATGATGTATTGCATTATTGCAGTTGTATATATATGTTTAACCCTCAGCTGATCTTTCCTGAAATGGTCTGTATTACAAATGCCTGAAGAGTTGCCACTATAGTAAGCTTCTGAGCTGTGGCTGGGAAATAGGGTAGGCAGGGAGCCCTAGTCTGCCACAGCATTGGTGTCATTCATGTGACAGGCTGGAGAGCTGGGCAGAGAGGAACCTGATGAGGTTCAACAAGGGCAAGTGCAGGGTCCTGCACCTGGGGAGGAATAACCCCATGCACCAGTACAGGCTTGGGGTGGACCTGCTGGAGAGCAGCTCTGCGGAGAGGGACCTGGGTGTCCTGGTGGAGGACAAGTTGACCATGAGCCAGCAGTGTGCCCTGGCTGCCAAGAAAGCCAATGGGATCCTGGGGTGCATCAAGAAGAGTGTGGCCAGCAGGACGAGGGAGGTTCTCCTTCCCCTCTACACTGCCCTGGTGAGGCCTCATCTGGAGTACTGTGTCCAGTTCTGGGCTCCCCAGTTCAAGAAAGATGAAGAGCTACTGGAGAGAGTCCAGCGGAGGGCTACAAGGATGGTGAGGGGACTGGAACATCTCCACTACGAGGAGAGGCTGAGGGA